TAAGGGATCTTAGCATATTAACCCAAAATAAAAACTAAAATTTGTAAATCTTGTACTCGTCCATCTGAACTCTGAACTATTAACTTCACAAGGGTAAAAACGTAAAAACCATCAACAGCATTTCATCATGTAAAACATATATATACCACCTACGGCGGCGCCCTGTGCTGAGGAGGCGGCGGTGGCATATCATCCGACATGCCGCCGTGCTTCGTGGAATCGTACTTCTCTCCCCATCGCCCCACAAAGCATACGCCTCCTCTCCATGCACAGCGTCGTCTCCGATCAGCAACTCCTTCTCCGGCATCCTTAGCTGGACAACAAAACTAATTAAAACACAAATGACGGAGGTGACGACTACGTTCCAGCCGATGATAAATCCGCCGCCCATGATCTGCTTGAAGACCTGGACGCCGCCGTAGACGCTGCTGCGTGAGTTGGTGATGGGGAGGAAGATGGAGCAAAGGACGGGCTCGGCGAAGATTCCGGTGAGAATGCCGCCAAGGTATCCGGCGACGGCGTGGGTGTGGAGGAGCCACAACTTCTTGTGGACTACCATCATTGTGAACCATGGGACGCTGCCGGAGATTATTATAGCCGCCCACCCTTGAACGAGCCCTATCAAATTTTGAACGTAAACGTATGATATATCTGTAAAATAAATTTGCTCACAACTTGATGACGGTTATTTCTACACTACATCCGGGGTGAAGACTGTACACTGAGTGATTTTTTACCGTTAATCTCCACACTAATTGATGTGGATGTATGTGTTTGTATGTATATAAATGATAAAGATCTACCCGATGTATTTAATTTCACGCATATAATATATATAGAGAGGACAATGTAGCATTACGAGAGCGTAAAATCCCCCATGTTATGCACCAAATCCCCGGGCTCCGTATTCTTTTTATTGTGTAAAACTCCCTCGTGTTTCATTTTTTCTTGCATGAAATTCCCGTTTTAGGTAATAATTATCATCGTTAACAATAGATGGGATCTTATATATGCAAGTTTGTAAAATAGGGGGCTTTGATCTATGGTTTTGTAATGCAAAATTAATTTATTTATTTAAAATTCAAATTATTTTCTTAAATTATGTCGAACACATTTATTAATTTAAAATATGTAAAATAAAAAAAATTCGAGATGGAAGTTGGAACGAATTTTCAAACTATTTATTTTCTTTTCACATATAATTAATCCAGAATATAAATTATAAGAATATAAAATAATTCTAATAAAAAAATTTATATATTTTAAAAAATCAAAAACTTTAAATACATTAGTAAATTAAATCATATATAAATAAAAAAATAAAAAAATATTCACCATACCTATTAAATTTTTAGTTTTCATATTGTAACTGAATAAATCATGTGTTCGACTTAATTTAAGAAAACAATATGAATTTTAAATTAATAAATTAATTTTGCATAAAATTCCCTTGTATTGTCAAAATATGCACCTAATCCCCCTTTGTTATCATGAAAAAAATGCATAATATTCCCTCTAAAGTTTATTTTTTAACGAAAAAGAGAATTCCGTGCAATGAAATAAAACACAAACGGGTTTTATGCGAGAGAAAAAACCGAGTGTGCCGTATCATCTTTTA